GCAACTTTGCAGTGAAGCTACAGACTTGTATTGCCAATTGTTCTTAGAACTTTTCAACTCCCAGCATAGTCTTGAGATTCATCAGTCTTTCCATTTATTTATATCATGTGTGCTCTGGTCTCACTTATAGGTAGACCAGGGCATCACAGAATTTGCTGAGCAGGTTTCCAGAGAAGGCTAGTAAGGTATTCCATTCAGTGTGTACCCCCTATACAGTCATATGGGCATAACTTCTCCATCTAAATTCATGGACTATAAACAACAATATCTGTAGCCTCCTCCATAAAGGAAACAAACAGCCACGAAGTGAAACTTCATCATTTAAATGAGGGGGGAATTGAAATGGTCTGGAAAATATACCTATACAGTATAGGAGAAGTAGACATAAAGGAATTATTTCTGGCAATGCACTGATTGAGAACAACTGTACTTCTGTCCATTGCAATATGAATCTATACATCCAACTTAAAACCCACCAGAACATAATGACCAGTCAGACACAGCCCTCAAACTATCTCAGCAGCACACTGACATGACTCTTTTGCTTGCAAAAGTATGGAGTTGACTTCTTGTTCTAATGATTTGGTAGAATGTGTAAAAGTTCCTCTACTCAAAATATTTTTACAATGAAAGAGCCATATCTATACAAGCTATTATGATACTTTGGGCAAGAATGAAATAGAAAACAACATATGGATTGTCTCAGTAAACACATGTTTATGATAACCTACTGCAAAGCATCTTCCTGGGCTCAGAGTAACTGCAAATGTGTCACTTGTGTGACCAACCTTCCCACTGACTAAAATGAGAATTTGGGTTTGCAAGGAAGACTTCTGGAACTTACTGTAAAATGAGTCCAAATAGTATATTCTCACAGAAGCTATTAGTAATATTAGAAACTAAGCTGGTTCCAATACCTTCCCTGACTCAAAACTGAGCTTTGGGGTTGAAATTTCTCATCCTGTACCAGATGCAGATCTACAGTTGTACTTTATCATGATTTCAAAATTCTGAAGGGATACCGAACACTGGTAAAATGGTATATAGCAAAACAAAATATCCTAAGATGCAAAATGGCATGCTTGAGAAATCATCTTGGAAAATGCCTGAGAAAGGGAACATTTTTCAATTGTACATTCTGCCCCCAAATCTCAGATTTATACTAGTTTCTAAAATATTTCTCACTTTTAGACCCCACAGTGACACCTGCTGGATTCAATTAACTGAAGGGTGGATGTCCCCATTATACAGAAGGCTGCACGATCATCCCTGAAAAGATATGTTTGTATAGTAAAATAAGGTTGTACAACAATTTCCTTTTCTGTGTATAGCAGGTATCCACTGAAATACACAATCCCATTCATGGCGAAGCAGGGTAAGGGGCTCACTCTGTTAAGATAGTCATTGAAATACATCAAAAGAGAATTATTGGATGTAAGATGTTGGAAACAAATTACATTTTTGCTGTCATCAGAAACAGACGGGAATAAATATTTTTTAAAATCTCAAAACAAATGAATATTGATACAAATCTAACTGCAAAGGAGATCCCAGCACAATATTTTAATTGGTATTAGGTTCTCCCCTCCACCCACCAAAGTATATTGATTAACCAATAGCTTAATGCACTCAAATCAGTTACTACCTACAATGTTTTTCTTAATGCACTCAAATCAGTTACTACAATGTTTTTCTATAACAGCCATCATCATTATACACACAAAAGAGACAAATAAGAATATAACGAGTTCCATTTTATGTAATTCCGTACTACTACAGTTCCTGCAGTTTTCAAATATGGAATTAGCATTAAAGAGCTCTTGATAATGTTGAAAGAAGGGTTTTAATTACTATGGTACCAATTAGACTATTAAGAGTAAATATAATTTACTAAACACTAAAGAGATCATTGCTTTAAAAATAAAAATGTCTATAGAATATTCTTTAGAAAAAAAGTTTAATCATCACTGTGTTTAATTCATAGTACTTGGTATTCCAGTTTGAGCCTGGCTAATACAAGCTATATTCTGCAGTCCTTACTCAGACAAAATTCTCCCTGAACTCAGGGGGAATTTGCTTGAGTAAGACCTGCAGGATCTAACCATGTATCAATTGACATCTTCTAACATTCCATTAGTTGTTTATTTGTCAGGTATGGTTTAACGATGTTCCAAGCAATCTGAACTTCTTGGAACAGATCCTCAGATGGTGTAAAATGGGACATTTCCTTTGAATTGAACAGAGATATGCTGATTTATACCATCTGAGGTACAGTAAACACATTACTTAGTTTAATTCAAGCCATTTTTCAAAAAAACTTAGTTCACTTTAGAAATAATGAATTTCAATTGTATCTTATCCTGGAAAAGCTGCTCTAAATAAATCACTCTAATCCTACTGGACAATACATACTGTAACAATGATTAAAAGTGTTTGCACAGAGGTAGGGCAGAAAAAAGAATAGCTTTGCTGGGAAAATGTAAACACCATAAACAAGCCAGAGGAACCAAAGGCAGATATGCATGAGAAATAGCTGAGAAAACAAGACTTTGATTGAAAATGCAAAAGTTAACTCTTCCAAGTCTGCCTCTGTTTCAAGAATAGAACAAAGAAAATGCTGCAAAAGCAAAGATACTCGATGAAAACTAATTTAATTCATGTTTATAATTCTGGAGCGTTTAGAGTTCTCTAAACAGAAATTAGATAAGGAATGGTCTAATTTCTGCTTCTCTCTGTGTAATGTATATATATTATACTGAAGATATCTCACTAAAAATAAGATACTGTAGAGTATTTTAATTGATGCTACGAAAATAAGTACAATTTAAAGAGAATGGGGTTTGACCATTAATGGGACAAATTCTCCATGTTTTATCTGGTTCACAAAAACCAAGAATGGCACTGAACTGTATTCAATTCCAAATATTGATCCTTGTGCCTTGTATTTTTTTTTTTCTGAAGAACACAGGAATTGAATGGACAAACCGGATTAGATCCAATTTGCATGACATCTTTTAAAAACAGAATTTCTCTGATTACGTCAGAAATCATTAATCAAATCATGAATGAAAAACAGCATGGTGCAGACAACAACAGAAACCTATCAGGGTTTTCTCATCTGAAAGCTATTTTCTTGACAAAAAAAATCAAGTGTACTCTGGTTGTAGAATTATTCACTTGTTCCTAAGCACAATGCTATGCTACAATAAATTCCAAAATTCTGGCACGTTATACATTAAAGGTTTAAACATTTCCCCTCCTAACTGAGAAACTAAGCCTAGAGAAGGTGTTTTCAATAAGCATACCTCTTAATCAAGTACACTTTTTGATCTAAAGTTGATGCAACACCAATGACAAGTTATTGTACATGCTTTTACAGCAGAGGTGAATCTGGGCTGTGAGTTTATTCCAGTATTCTGTATACATTCATAAATGACAGCTAAACAGTATGCATAGAAGGAATTTTACTACTAAAACCAAGAAAACAATAAACAAATGCACAGAAGAGAACAACTTCTTAAAGAAAGCTTAAATCAAGTAGCCTACAGAAATGTAGAAACTAACTTTTCATTGAAATTGCTCATCTTTAATATTTACTATAACATTTACTTAGAAATATATTTTTAATATCACTGCATATATTTTAATATTGGAAACAGACTGGGTTCAGTATTTTCTTAGAGGAAGTTACTGAAGTATTCAAATAAGTTTTCCTTTGTGATTTATGAAATCCTTGTGGGCCCAGTCCTACAGACGCCTCACACATGAGTAGTTCTACGGCAGTCAATGGAACTACTTGCATTTGCAAGAACTAAACTGAGTAAGTATTGGCAGGACAGGCCGGTTTTATTCTTTATTTCCTGCTATCTGGATTCAGACACCTTTACTCATGTCGAGTAGTAACTTACTCCATGAGCAGTCCTATTGAAATCAATGGAACCCTTCAGAGAATAAGGTAATGCTCACCAGGCAGAATCTGACCCCCACTGAATTTTGATTAAATAAGTTTACTCAGTACTTTCAGACTTAAAATGAATAATTAATATAATTTTTTTTTGAAATTACTAAAAAATGTCTATCAGCAGCCTGTCAATAAAAAAACAAAAAGGTGTAAGGGGAGACATCCTGAAATCTGTGATGCAGTTAATTCCTCAGCACAAAACTAAACCTAACTATAACATGCACACCTTAGGTGAAATGCTGGTCAGTGGAAAAAGACTCATGGACTTCAGTGGGGCTAGGACTTTACCTGTTGTACCAAATCAGAAAAAAAAGTTGTTTCGTTGGGACAAATCTTGCATTTTTGAAAATTGAGCAGAACTCCCACTGAAGTCAATTGCCTGCTGAGGCTCAGAGTGTATTTGCGTTGAATCACAGAGCACGATATCACTGAGCTTGAATAAGCCTGGGAGAATCTGAATGTTGAGTACCACAGAATTTGGTCCTGCCCCTGGTTTGTAGTCAGGTATACTTAATACCTTTCTTTTGTACATCAAATCATTTGAGCCAAACTGCTCAGCATCACTGGCTGGTTATCGCGTATAAAATATGCTAATCATTTTTGATTAGGGCCTTGCTCCTGCAAACCATTTACACACACGCTTAATGTTGCACGTTTGAGTAGTCCAATTGAAATCTCTGGTACTACTCACTTGAGCAAAGTTAAGCTTGTGAAAGATTGGAGCCTAAACCATTTAGCGGAAACAGTTGTTGTATCCAATTATTTCTAGTATTCAGTTAATTAAAACAACATTAGCACTGATTTCTGTATTTTTTTATTGTTTGATTTTATCAACTCTAAATGCCTTTTGCCCCACACCTATTGCGAGTTTAGGACTGATCCTGGGATCACTGACAGTTTGACCTCAGTGGAAACAGAATCATACAATTAAATACAGTAACTGGCTAAAACATGGTGCCTACAATAGATAGTATTACCATGTCTGAACTACTACATTAATCACACATGCAAAATATATGTGAAGTAATACACAACATACAGCTGAACACATCCTCCCTCATGCTGCCGATTTCTGTGTGTTCTTTGAAGCAGTGGTTTTCAACAGGGGTCTGCAGACTACGTCTAAGGGGTCTGCGAAAGACAAACTATATAAGCAGACAATAGATTTCCAAAGAGCTCTGTACCTCCAGTCAAAGTTTTCTAGGCGTCCACAAATAAAAAAAGGTTGAAAACCACAGCTTTAAAGAAAAGATGCAGCCAATAAAGCCGACTATCAGTCATGCTGATCTAGATTAGTGTAACTCCTTTGATTTCAATGGAATTACTCTAGATTTAGAGGCAGTGTAGCTGAGAGCATAACTGGGCCATTTATAAAGCATCATACTTAATTGTTAAAGCCCCCACAGTTGCAAATGAGTGACTAGGTTCCATGATAAATGAAGATTACTCTCATTTGCAGCAGATTGAGCCTGGCCCCAGGTATTAAATGTGAATTTATTAAGGTAAGATAGTAACAACACAGACGCTTCTATGATTTACCCTCAAAATGTGAGTAGGGGCTAACTGAATTATTGCAGGACAATGTCTCATTTGTCTCTCATATGTACATGGTCACTGCTATTATTTCTCAACATAGATTTCCAGTACTAGCATACATTTTTACGGGGGTTTTGAGTCTAATGATCCATGATACCAGCGCCCCCCCCCCCCCAGTCATACTTATACACACATGCAGCAATTGACTTACAAAGGTAACTGATCATAGGAATGTGGCTTCATGGATACAGACAGGAAATACTACTTCTAAATTAGAAAGTTTAATCCTCTCTAGGGCAAACAAGATAGATACCGAACTTTAGTGTCAGCTTAACCCTTTATACAAAAATGCACCCACTCCAATCATACATTTCCAGTTTTCCACATTGCAATGGTTTAATAAGTGGGGGAAAGGAGGAAACATTTTTTTAAACTGATCAACACCGAAGAAAAAACCAATCCCCTCCCCCCCCCCCCCCCCACAAATAACACCCCAACCCTCCCTCTGCCACACAGGGAAAAGAAACCTTGAAAAAAAGAAGGGTGAAAAATACCCTCACCAAAAACTGACAAACACAAAGTTATTTTTTCCTTAAAAATGACAAAACCCTTTTAAATTCTGTTATAAAGCAGCAAGGAGTCATTCTGGTCTAACTCAGATGTAATCTCTTTCTCCTGTACAATAACAATGAAAATCCAGTAAAGAAAACTGCTCTGCTTTTATCACTTAATTCTTCCTCTCTTGCAAGAACCCCAGTTGTCCTGAATTAGTTTTAAGGACTATTTCCCAACCAGTAAAGCCCTAATCCTCTCCAGATGCAAATTCTGAAACCTGATCAGCTAATATTAGGGTTTGTGAAAAAATCCTTTAAGTGCTGACTTGGGTGTCTTGTTTGTATCATTCTTTTTACTAATCCAACTTTTGATAAATTTGTTAAATATTTTAACAATAATATCAGTTATAAAATCAGCTCAGCATTTGTTCAATAAAAAACATAAACAAAGACTTTTTTTCTTATAGCTCTACCTCTGCAGATTACCAATATGCTCAGGTTAAAAAACAAGCAGTTCCTCCTTATAATATTAATATCCATTTTGATAAGTACATTCAGATGCCACAGGGATGTCACTCTTATTTAATACAGTAAATCTGTTTTAATCTGTACTCACCAAACACAGTTCCTTTGAAAAAAAAATTCAAATAAATTCTTGGATCTCAATTTGATTTTTGCCTTTCAATTTATGAAACAGTGTGATTCTCCCCCTCCCCCCAGCAAGGTGGAGAATGATAAAATCATTTGATAAAATCACCTACAATCTGATCCTGCAAGCTGGGTATAAATCCAGTTTATCAGAGCCTGATGATCCGAATGTAAGAGGTTACTTCTGGTCTTCTGTGGAGAGAGGGGTTGCTCTGAGGAGAATTGGAAGGGTTGTCAGATTGTAAGTGATCAGCAGCAGAAGGGAAACATCAGAGCTTCCTGTTACATCACTCTGACCCCGCCTGCATTTAGTATTAAATTTCTTTCTTTCTCAAATAGCACACCCCCAGAAAGCAATGCTCCTCTAATATTCCCAGACAAGAACTGGAGACAGCCTGAACACTGACATGTTTCATGTGGTATCCAAATGTATTGTTCCTAGTGAAAGCTAGTTTACTTTCACCTTCACTGAGATCTGTTGAAACTTGCCATCCAGATAAACTAGTGCCTTGAAGTGAATCTGAAAATATTCATTCTGTTCCAAAAAGGGGGCTTAATTGCTTGTTTTTTCACATATCCACTCAGTGGAGCATGCCCAGTTTAAAACAAGATAAATAAACCAACCTAAATCTTTACTTATAAACAAAGAATGTAAGACAATAGCTGCATTATTCCTTACTACCTCAGTGACCTGACCGTCTCTGACGGAATCCTTTCTACAGATGACAGCACTGTATGTTGCTCTAGGCATTTGACTGTTAAGTGCTGAGAAGACATACCCAGAAATAGTTTAATATTTGAAGAATAAAATTATGTTAAAGATCAGAATCAAATCTCCACATGCAGACAAATATTAAATTAAAACTACCAGGCTGTTACTGTCTCACCCCCCCCCTTTTTTTTTCAGTTGCAAAAAATAAAAAATAAAATAAAATAAAACTGAGATTGCATGAGTGCAAGAGAAAATATCAAGGTAAATTAAAATAAAATTTGCCATGTGAATCATTGCTGGACAGAATTCAGACCTACATTTTCCAAAGTGGCTAGTGATCTCAGAAATGTTAATTTTTGGTTGCCCCGCTTAAGAATTCTTGAGAACATGAGTTTAGAACTTGGGTCAAAGGTTAATGTAAATCTTTCCACTAACTTCAATAGATTTTGGAACAGGCATGTGACTTTCTGAGATGCTGATGACTTGTCCTCAAAATATCAAGCCTATTTAAGGTGTACTAAACTGCCACCCAAAACTGTAGGCTTCCCAAATCAATAGATATTTTGAAAACGTAAATGACATTGCTGTAATCCAAAACAAATGGGAGCTAAAGAAGTCTTAGACTCCAATCCTGCTAACTGTCACACACAAGTAGTGCCATTGAATTGAATGAAACCACACACCTGTGTAAAGATACTCATGAGATAAGTATTTGCAGGATTGGGACGGTCATGGGACGGTCATCTGACTCATTTGTGTCTATATGCTGCAGAGGTCTTAATGTGAGAATTGTTCGAGAATAAAGTACGATCAATGTATGTCTTTTTAAACAAAAACACACTCAGACTAAGAATTGATATATGCTAAATTATTGGCCAATGCAAGCAAAAATAAACAAGACGCTGGGTCTGATTCTGAACTCACACCTATGTAAATCAAGAGTAACTCCACTCAGGATAATGGCCTTACCCTAGTGTAAAACTGGCTTATAGTTTTAAAAGGAAGTGGTATCATGGAAATATGGAAGTGTCTAGACCCTGTTCTCTAGCAGCACTGTTGGGCTATAAAGAGCTAGAAAATAAGGAGAAGCAATCTGAACCTGAACATTGATGTGAAATTAGTTCTTGGTCATGATAAATATCTATGCAAAACACACCGGAAAATAATAATTAGTACTGTAGTTATGTAGATTGATCTTTTCATTCTTTCTTTTTGGGAAGCAATACTGCACACTAACCCAAGCAAGCAGAATTGTCCATGGACACAGAGTAGTAGACAAGTGAGTATTTTATTACCTGAACACCTCTAAAATTCACAATTTCTCTTTGGCAAATAATGTTCTTTCCTACCATTTTTTTAAATGAAATGCTCCAGCAATGTTTAGCTTACTGTAAATGTGGTAGGACCATCAAAATCTGTCAAGGGTCTCAGCCTTATGATTACACCCAAGACGTGATGATCCAGATTAACTTGATAGAAAGGAAAAATCTTGGATCATCAGGTCTGAGGTTTAAACATAAATCTGAGCAGCCAAAAGAGTTTTGTGACCCTACCGTTATATAGTAAGTGAAACAGAAAAGGTTTGTGCACCAAAGATTTGCTAATCCAGAGCTCTTCTGCCAAAACATATGGAGTAATAACACTATGTGAATCAACCAAGCATAAGAAACAAGATACAAGCAAGCTTTTATAGCATGTTAACAGCTATGAACTATACTGGAGAAAATCTTTTTAAACCGGAGCAGGGGAAACATTACTCTCTAGCTACCTAGAAGACTATGATATGTGCAGTGTAAAGCTGCCATCTAGCGTTCAACATTCACCCATACATCATTTAAACATCAGTTTTCATTTCATAGTTTGAATGACTAAAACATAGCTGATGGAAGGGGCTGCACAGACCACTTCCGATAATATAAGAAATTATTCAACTTGTTAGGCCAAACACAATGTGAACATGAATGAGGTTTGAAAAAAGTTCAGGTAACTTTCTTCCCCACCCATTTTTAGGCATTTTCTGGTTCTAGTCATGAGCAGAAATACTAAGACCAAACACATGCTGTTCACATGTTATTTTCTTCCTGATTAAAACTATGAGCTACCTCTAGACCAATGAGAGACTATTTTTGATAGATTTCCAGATTTGTTTTGCAGACAAAATGCTCTGCTGTATGTTCAGAAAAGGTTATGGATGCAACATGGGTACTTTCGCAAAGAAACCTCCAAACTCTTTGAAGTTCACTGATCTCTAACGTACCCAGTTTTATAGAAACAAAACATGAGAATTTTCATTAATTATTTCCTGAGATCTATCTACATTTAATTTTATTTTTAAATTAACCCAATTTTAAAATGATAACACCTTAAGGAAATAGCTGTGAGGAACAAAATTGACTTGCAAGTTAATATGCAGGCTTCAGAGTAACAGCCGTGTTAGTAAAAAGAAAAGGAGTACTTGTGGCACCTTAGAGACTAACCAATTTATTTGAGCATAAGCTTTCGTGAGCTACAGCTCACTTCATCCGATGAAGTGAGCTGTAGCTCACGAAAGCTTATGCTCAAATAAATTGGTTAGTCTCTAAGTTAATATGCAGGAACACATTGAATCTGGAAGGGCAGACATCTTATTAAAATTTAAAGAAATGTACTGGTTCTTAAAGCAGGTGTGATGGAAGTGGAAAAAGGAATGGGTGGAACAGAGGGAAAAAGCTGGAGAGAGAAGAGAACTAAGAGAAAAATAAGTAGAATGGAGGAAAGAGAATACAGATTAGAAGAGTAGTAAACGTGATGGGGTGAGTATATTAAGAGATTAAGAAGTGAAAAGAAAATGAAAGTTCTGAACACAGTCTAAGTTTCCTTCAAAATAATCTGAATGGATTCTGGCTAAAGAAAGGAATCGATGAACTATATTCAATGCCAGGAATATGGTTATTGGTGTCACTAAGATATAGCATTCAGTTCTCTGATTTTTGTAACCTTGGCCTAGATCCCTTTATTCCTTCCATCCAACCAACTCTGTTATCCAATAAAGATTCATCCTTCACTTTTAATTGTCTTTGTTGAGCAAGTGTAACCTGTTGGTGTGCTCTGAAACAGCTCTGAATGAAGTCAGGCATGATTCTAGTGCAGTGTGTTTTCCCTCAGAGCACATTCTCACCAGGGCAAGAAGCCTGTTCCTGGGTCTGACCCTGGAGCATTCAGCACACCTGTCCACACTGTGAGCATCCTGCAGCGAGTCCCCCTGGATGGGACACCTGGGGAAGCCTTACACCCCCCAAAGGGCCATGCACCCCAATTCTGCAGTCAGAGGTGACTCTCAGCCAGCATTGGAAAACAGAAGAGTTTATTAGTTGATGGGAACACAGCACAGAACAGATCTTGTTAGTACAGAAAGCAGGAAGATTCAGAAAATTCCATCTTGGGGGAAACCCTGGGCTATCCCCTGAGTTCCAAACCAGGAGACTGACCAGCTTCCAGCAGCCAGCCTCAGTCACGAGCTGCTGCCCCGTCTCTTTACTTTATCTCTTTCCTGGGTAAACAGGTCACCTGACCTGCATGTCTCACTTTGTTTTCCATTTCTTCCAACTGGCTCTGTATCCTTGGCTATCAGTTACCAGGATACAGATACAGGATACCATTCTCTCTGTGCCCAGGCAGACAGTTGGCAGTCACACTTGCCCCTAGGGGTCTCTGCAATGATCACACACCCTTGTCCCACCACTTAGATACTTGAATAACACATAAGGGAAACTGAGGCACACACAGTATTCAGACAAAACAGTAAGAACATACCCACTTCATCACAGTTGATTACTCTGAGTTTAGTTGCTCTGAGGGTATCACAGTGAGCAGAGGAAGAGGCGCTGTGTGAATGAGAGAAAGGAAAATGAAAGGAAGCTCTGCTGTGGATTATATCAGGGGACAGACTGATCAGGCTGTAGTGGCTTTCCCTCAGAAGGATAAATAGCCAATAAGGGATTACTTTGTGGGAACATGAGTCTTTTCCTATGTTAAATGGGATGTGAAGAAAGATTTTTTAAAGATGAAATACTAGTTCTTACTGCTTAACGAAACAGGATAGGTGGAGGGGAACTGTAGTTACACTTCCCAGATGACTGGTGCATGCCCAAATCCTGCACATTCAAAGACAGATGGTTCATATTCTTCTCGGGTGAAATCCTGGTCCTATTGCAATTAAGGGGAGTTTTGCCATTGACTTCTATGAGGCCAGGATTTCACCCCAGCTGTGCAATACCTGTCTGTCTGATAATGCTCAACTCCTTTTTCTGGATGGAAACGCTGGATACTGCTGAGTCACTTAACATTATTGATCCTACTCTTCAATTCATTGCTCTTCTTTCCAATGGAGAATACTTAAGAGTCAAATTCTCCAGGCTGCTGTAATTTATGCCAACCATGGGAATCACCCTGGACTGTGGAAGAACACCACATTGAGCCTCATACCATCTCTGTACCCTCTCCTCCTGTGGTGCACAGTGTGGTCTTCACACACAGCCCTTATTTTGCTTACCTACTGCAATGTT